GTAATCAGGCTCTCAAAAAGTATATAAAAATTTGGATATAGATTTGTCGGCCAACATATCGGTTATCGGCTTCAAAAAATAAAGAATTATCGGTTATTGGTATCGGCCAAAATTTTCATATCGGTACATCCCTATAATACACTATATATTTTACTGTTATATTTTTGCAGTGATCGTCTTGTTGCTAGGCTATTTGTTTTGTACATTGTTATTGACAATTTTTTTAGTGAAAGGTTTAAAATACTATACAGGTACGATTACAAAACCATTTTCAATCAGTACTTCATTCTGAGGTATCTGAGTAGCTGTGTATTAAATGTTTAACATTTGTCAGTGTTTTTTAAATTTTTTATAATTTTTTATTTTATCAGTCAATAGCTGCATCCCAAATAACACACTATACACTGCACTTATACACCATGTACTTGTGCACTATGAATTATGTAAGGTTATTTTGTCATTCATCAGATAGCACCTCTCCCTCTGCTTTAAAGCTGCAACACTTGAGTGCATGAAGAGTCCAGCATTCTACACTTTTTACGTTTATTTTATTTTTTCACTTAACTGCATCATTCGGGTATTTAAAGTGCACTTTTTCTTTTTGGAAATTTTCAGTGTGAACATACTACTCGCACTATTTATACAAAAAAATGGCACAGAATAGTGCATAAGTACGCCAACTGGGATGCACCTATATTGTACATTAATATGACTTTAAAATAATCAAAAAATGATTCTCAAATTAATATTTCATGTCCACTTATTTATTTATATTGTGAATAGATTTGTATATAAAGATGTAGATGTGTATTAAATGGCTATAAAATAATTCTCATCTCAATATAATCAACATAGTTGTTTATTTGGTGAGTATAGGCCTATCCATGTTATAAGTGTATTAGCTAACAATTTAGTTTAGGGACCAATTCTCACTATTAACAGTTTGTTAATAGCGAGAATTGGACCTTAAAATAAAGTGTGACCGTGTATTAAACTCGGTCCAGTTTGTTTTGCGATAATGGCTCTATCACCTACATAATGACTATAAAAATTGTAACAATTCTCATATCAATATTTTATGTCCACATATTTATTGATTTGTTGCTGTTTACTAATAATTAAACTCTGTCAGGTTTATTTTGCGATAATGACTGTACATCAACACTTGCATAATGACTATAAAATACTTCTCAAATCAATATTTAATGTCCACATATGTATTGATTTTGTAAGTATCTGTGTACATTATACATAATGACTGTTTTCCTACACTGAGGGATTTATTTTAGTTATTTGTCGCTAAATTCACAGGCCAAACAGAACCAGTTGTTGACGCTGGAGTAGCACAGCTAATTCTGAGAAGTTTCCTCTGAGCACCGGAGGGAAATTATTCTGTTCTCATTTGTATCATCCCATCTGAATAAGACAAGTGTATTATGAATTGTAAGACAGCGAGACAGCTCAATCTGGGTGCACATATGTACTCTCACAGTATTTACAAATGAAGTCTAAGGTAAGAGGTGACATTTCATCCTCAAGGTGTCCTCCAAGGAAATGGCACAGATGAAGTGGATGATTTGTAAATCCCAGGGAGCGGAGGGTAGTGTTTGTTTGTCTGAGTCCTGTGGGGGTTAGAAGGTCCAGGGCTCTGTAGCTAAGGCGGAGCATGGAGTGTGAAATGCCAGGGTCAAAGCTGATGTGTAATGCATATGTGAGATGGATGGAGTTTCACCGTGATGAATGGGAGGTGGGTTGTAGAGGGGGAGACACACACACAACGTGTGACATTGTAAAGGTCACGCATTGTCAGTTGATACCTGTTAGCAAATAACATGCTGGCGAGAGCCCGAAGCTCCACAGGTCTGAGATTAGCTGTCCTCTTTGAGGTCTAACCTCAATGAGATGCGCTGGTGACGAAAAATGTGCTCTCTAACATTGGGGATCCCCAGGGAGGTGTTGTCAAGACAATCTATTGTTGCTATGGAAACAGAGCAACAGTAGTGAGTCCCGTCCATCCACTCCATTTCAAACTGCTACACACGCACACACACACACACACACACACACACACACACACACACACACTCTGTTATCTGTCACTGGAAAATATATTAAATAAACAGTTTGCAATTAACAGCAACATATTTGGTCTCTCTAGAGCTGCAAAGTGGCCAGCAACACCCCATGGAAGAGCTTCACTCATACGCTGAAGGACAGCCCATCTTTAAGGTGTGTTTTGTCACAAAAATCAAAAGTGGAAGTGTATATGAAGATGTATAAATATCAATGATACATGGGAGCGCTTTCGCACTCTGAATGTGTAAGATCTGGTAAAAGTGTCTTGTTAGGTGTAATTAGCACCTGTGATTCACTTGCAAATGTGATTTCTGAAAGGTTTTATTTGGTATGTTAGGCTGTCTTGTGTTTCCTGTCTTGTCATGTTATTCAGGGTAACCATCAGCCCTACAATGGCAGCATGTCAGATAAAAGGAGCAGCAGTGGGTATGACATTGGAGAATTGGCTACATCTTCCCTGCTGGGTGAGGAGCAAAGAGTGCATGTTAGGCACTGTCACACTGTGTGTTGTTTTGCTAGGTTTTTGCTATCGTTCGGAATCATTCGTCTGAATCAGAAGAGCAGTTGACCTTTACAGAAGCTTGCTAATGTAATTTCCCTCTGCCTGCATATCTCTCATTTATGAACAATCTCTCTCTCTCCTTCTCTAGTGCCTCTTTAGCCACCTGTTTCCTTTCCTGACGTTTTAATTTTTTTTTGCTCGATTTCTCCAGGCCCACTCTTTTCAGAAAGTTAATTACAGAGAGTAATAATGTGTTATGGGTTTTTAAGCTTTTCCAAAGAGCATTTTTGATCATTTCAGTCTAATTATAAATGCAGTCACCAGCTGATGAATATGTATTATGAGGCAAAAAGAACCACAAATCTCTGATCAACTGCAAAAATTCTAGAAACTAACCACTTTGGGGAAAAAATGCAATTAGGAGGATTAATTTATAAATCACATGTCATGGGGATGCAAATTATTGCTAGTTCCAGTAATAGGTTTGTAAGGACTTGCACGACCATTAGGCACCAAGTTTGTCTATGTAGAAATGTTTATTTTCACTTGTCCCCAACTGCATTGGGCACAAAAAGTACAATAGTTTGTTTACCAAAAATTGGGACATGTCTGAATAAAGTTAAAAATGTTATAGTATTTATAGTTTTGTAATTTACAATAAAAATTTAAATATTGCAATAAACCTTAAAGGGTTAGTTCTCCCAAAAATGAAAATTAGTCCATAAATTACTCACCCTCAAGTCATCCTAGGTGTATATGACTTTCTTCTTTCAGACGAATCCAGTCGGAGTTATATAAAAATTTGTCTTTGATCTTTCAAGCTGTTTAATGCCACTCAGCGGGTGTTGCATTGCTTCAGTCCAAAAGAAGTGAAATAAAAAGCGCCCATCCATAAAAAAAGTGTCTCACACGGCTCCGGGTGGTCAACAAAGGCCTCCTGTAGCGAATCGATGCGTTTTTGTAAGAAAAATATCCATATTCAAAACGTAATAATCACTTTAATGTAGCTTGCGCCAACAGTTGTACACAGAAGCAGTTCCGAGCTGATGATGTATGAGGTCAGCGCTGCGCATGTGCCGGTGAGTCTCGTGAAAACCAACGTTTGTTTACATGATCAAAGGAAGCAAAGTTTCCTTACTTTAGCAAAGGAAAACCAGTCTCCTCTTGGCTTATATCGAAATCCTCCGACATTCTTCTTTACAAATCCTCGTTTTGTACTTCTAATTAGTGACCGTTGTTTTGTTTTGATCTCTCCCCTGCGCTTTCACGTGCGTCACTTCTGAACGGTGCATGCGCAAAGCTGACCTCATACGTCATTCCCCGGAACTGCTTCTGGGTACAACTGTTGGCGCAAGCTACATTAAAGTGAATATTACGTTTTGAATATGGATATTTTTCTTACAAAAACGCATCGATTCGCTACAGGAGGCCTTTGTTGACCCCCCGGAGTCGTGTGAGACACTTTTTTTATGGATGGGCGCTTTTTATTTAACTTCTTTTGGACTGAAGCAATGCAACACCCGCTGAGTGGCATTAAACAGCTTGAAAGATCAAAGACAATTTTTAATATAACTCCGACTGGATTCGTCTGAAAGAAGAAAGTCATATACACCTAGGATGACTTGAGGGTGAGTAATTTATGGGCTAATTTTAATTTTTGGGTGAACTAACCCTTTAAAGAAAATGCCAATGTAGTGAGAGAAGATGACCTGACCTCTCGGAGCAGTTTGTCAAGCTGACCGATGACATGAGAGGGGGTGGTCTGCGGGAAAGAGAGAACAACCCTGACACTACTGTCCCAGACATATGCCACAGGATCATTTCAAACATCAGTGATCGCACACTGAGACGCACCTGCAGCAGCACCTTCCCGCTGTACACACTCATGGGGTACATGGTGCCGAAGATCATGAGGGCGATGGCCATGGCAGACGCGGTGTCCATCGCATTATAGTTACTGCAAACAATGACAAGAAGATCACGTGACTCAGTGACAATCTCTGCTTCAGAGCGCACGTCACGATGCCTCTCCGAGCGTCATACAGATGCTAATACGGCAGCAGAAGCACATTCACTGGATCTCTTCATGGCGAGTACCTGGCTGCAGGTATCCATCTGCTGTGTTTTATAAATTATGTGCTTATGACGAGGACATACGGACAAGGCAATATGGATATTTAATATAACTCAACTATAGGCTAAGACTAAGGGAGGCATTCAAAGATATCGAATAGTAATAGTAAAAATGTAATAGTATGCAGTAGTAAAACTACACTGTTGTGGTAGGGATGTAGAGTTAACAGCATTGAATGAACTAATAATTGCACTAATAATAATTGTGTGGGAAAAAGTGGAGGAGAAGATGAGCCTGACGGATGCTTGTGAGACATTTGTGACATCATATATATATATATATATATATATATAAAACAAAGTGAAAATTAATTCTACAAATGGTATCAAAAATATGACATTCCTTTATGATTTCAATTGATGGACACAATTGTAAATGTGAAGACCTCTGAGGTGTTGCAGGCCAAAATGATCATTTGAAGAGGAAAGATACAGTTTTCATGTTAGGCTCTTACATAATTGTTCCTTTCACATAGCTAATATTTCTCAAAACATGCTATTTGTGCCTTCTGGTCCCTGCTTTCAGACACTAATCCTAAAAGGCTGTTCAGTTTTCGATGACTTTGGAGAGAATAAGCTCTAAGTCTCTTTTTACCCAGACAATTTATCCGTTCTCACTTTTGTCCCTTTTTAGCATCACCTCTTCACCTTCTTCCTTCTTTTCTTTTCATTTCTTTTATTTCATTTGATTTGCGCTCATGCTAATCCCTCCGATCTCCTCAGGACTGCTGGCCACTATTAAAGACCACATCACTAAGCCCACTGCGATGGCCCAGGGCCGAGTCGCCCACCTGATTGAGTGGAAGAGTTGGGGAGGGGAAGCGACGTCTGGAGGAGGCTGGTGTGGCTGGACGAGAGATGGTGGAGGAAGGGGAAGTGTGGGAGCCGCGCTCCAGGAGGACGAGCAGCTCTACTCTCACCTCACTGATGAAATCAAAGAAGCACGATTTGCTGCGGGTGAGACAGCATTTATATATTTAACATTTAACTACTCAAGTTTAAACTAATCTAAAAACTTCAGCCCTGCATAATTAGTATTATTGCAGTAATACCTCGATTATGTTGTTTAATGTACCTCATGAGTTCAGCATGATGGACATGAACAAATGCAGGGTTTTTCCATTCGTTCTTTCCACACTAATAGCTCCTCTTGAATGTCTCATTGTGATGTGTTGATGTTCATGTCAGTACTATAGCAACCAATGTAGATATACCGGATCAGATCAGATATCATCACTTACAATATGACAGTGTCATTGGGGTGGTCTTTTTTAACTTGTGGCAGTAAACAACCACCTAGCAACCACACAGCAACATGTTAAAAAACACTTTAACAACCACATAGCAATGCCCTGGCATTGACGGTGTGACTTTGTTACTGCAAAAACTGCTACTATTTTCTTCACAAGTGTAAATTTCAAATCTTACTCTGAAGGATTTCTGTTTTTTAATTAATAGTTCACCTTAAAGTAAAAATTAGCTGAAAATGTAATCACCCTCAGGACATCAGAGATGTAGATGAGCTTGTTTCTTCATTGGAACAGATTAGCATCACTTGCTAACCGATGGATCCTCTGCAGTGAATGGGTGCCGTCAGAATGAGAGTCCAAACAGCTGATAAAAGCATCACAATAATCCACAAGTACAACTCCAGTCCACCAATTAACATCTTTTGAAGTGAAAGGCTGCATTTTGGAATAAACAAATTCATCCTTAAGATGTTTTTAACTTTAAACTGTTGCTTCCAGCTAAAATACAAGTCCTCTATTCATAATATTACTTTTTCAAATGGAAAAAGTTGTCTTGCTTAAATTGGGAGAGAAATATGCAGCAAACATGCAGCTTTTCACTTCACAAGACATGAACTGATTGACTGTTGTCCTGTTGATTACTTGTGGATTATTGTGGTGCTTTTATCAGCTGTTTGGACTCTCATTCTGACGGCACCCATTCACTGCAGAGGATCCATTGGTGAGCAGGTGATGTAATGCTAAATTTCTCCAAATCTGTTATGATGAAGAAACAAACTCAACTACATCTGAGATGGCCCGAGGGTGAGTAAATGTTCAGCAAATTTTCATTTTCAGTGAACAGACAAATACCAATTTTGGTCTTGGTAATTGTCATGAATATTCATTTAAATGTTAAAAGTTCCTTCATAGGACATGAGTGATAAAAAACAGTTGATGTAAGTGCATATTTATTATGGATAATTATGTTGTTTTTTTCTGGTCCGCTATTATGTATATGTGATCTCTTTCTTCCTCTCACAGGTGTGGCGGAGCAGTTTGCTCTGGCTGAGGCAGCGATGAATGCCTGGTCATCCCAGGATGTTGAAAATAAAGCTATAGGCAGTACAATTCCAGTACAAGGTATTAATTCCACTGTTATTATCTCCTATAATTTTTTTTCAATCTTTATAACCTTTTGCAATGGAAAGGTTCAATGAATGTTAAAGGTTCTTTATGGAACCACAGATACCAATAAAGAACCCTCATTTTTAAGAGTGTTTTAACTATGTTGAAAAGATCAGCTTCGCTGGTCAGCAGTATTAAGGGCCCTATGAAATCTGTTTTATTTCCCCCCCCCCAAATTCTGTCTTTTTACCGTTTTATTTTTTCTATTGTAATTTTTCTAGACTCTGTTTTAATGGTTACATAAAATGTTATTAATCAAAAAGCATGTCTAATTAATTGAAACAACGAAACTCACATAATTTAACAGCATTTTTAAAAGTTTAACAAAAATTAAATTTCAAGGCCCTATGAAATATGTTTTCCCCCCAAATTTAGTTCAAATTTAGTTAGATTTTTTACCAAATTCTGTGTTTTGAGTTAATTTTCTGGATTCCATTTTAATAAAAAAGAAGCATAATCAAAAGCATCTCTAAATAACTGATGTTATAAAAAAAATAATAAACTAATAATTTTTTTCAGAAATACTCTTGTGTATTTACATTTTTTCTGGTAAATAAATTCTGGTAACTAATTTTTCTGGTAAATGTTCCTTTAAAATAATGTTTAAATAATTGTATTATTAGAACTAGTATCATTACATTAAGTAATTTATTTCTGTCACAGTTTCTTCAAGTTAAACCAAACTTTTATTATGCGTTGCTATGAAGATCTTTAAGTTTCTCTGTTTATATGATATGACGATATGAAATTCACATAAAGTGACTGTCAGAGCAGTTCTAGAGATCATGTTCATGTTCACTCATATGTTGAGGCGGCAGAAGCTGAAAACACTGCAAGCGTCATGCACACTTCAGTGTGTGAAGTAAAAGAAAACGCGCACCTGTGACATTGATTCACACAGAGACATGCAGAACATGCAGGGTTCATATTTAAATGGTATTTTTGCAGCTTAATATTCACAGACACTAGTCCATATCACATTTTGATTTAAATGTACTGACCTACTGAATTATTCTTCCAAAATTTGGCAAATTCCAAGACATTCTGCGCTATACAGTAAATTCCATTTTTATGACTGGATTTCGTGATTCCATCTGCGTTTAACGCATCTTTGAAATCATAGGGCCCTAAGTATTTTAGCTATGTTAGCTGGTCCATGTGAAAATATACTGGTTATTCAGGTCCACTAGCAAAACCTGTAAATGGAAATAGTCTTTTTGAAGATCTCGCAACTTATTTAACCATATATTATTATATATTATCCCATTGATATTATATTTATATTCACATCCCTTCAATAAAAGTAGCACAGTACGTTCTGACCACCTGGTTCATCTCACTCTGTCCCAGCTTGTATAAAAATACTGTTATTTCATTACAAGGTGATGATAGCCCTTGTGTGGTAAGCACAGAATAATGACAATTGGCCTGTTTAGCCAGGTGCAAAAAACATTTTACTCTGGTACTGATGAGTCTTTCAGCCAGGCGCATTAATAAATGACTGCAAAACAGAAATGTCTGAATGTGTCTGGGACACGATGACTCATGGATCGAGCAGATCAGAGCTCTATATTGAGTTGGGATTTAATGGGCTTATTCATTTATGCTATAATTTTCATTCTAGGAGATGTGTGTGCTTGAGGTCTTTTTCATTTCTGCTCTCACAATGATGACGATGTCTTTACAGACCCCGAGGGCCTCTATCTTTCTCAGTTCCTGTTGGATGGAGGGAGTCTGGGTGTTCCTCGGCACCTGTACAGAATGCACATGGAAGCTGATGACACCAGCTCTCTGGCACCTTCTCATCCTCCTCATTCTCATTCCCCCAGTCATTCTCATTCTCCGCTGGACACACAACATCCACCGCAGGAGCAGAGGATCTCGCCGATGGAAGGGTCCGTGCGACACGCAGACAGCATCTCCATGTCAGAGGATGAGGTTTTTTATAATTGAAATTTTGATGATGACAGTGGAAGGAAAAAAGAAAAGGTTTTTAATTTGTTCTTTGTGTTCGCTGAGAAGCATATGAGGTTACGTCTGGGGTTATCGCTTTACTGTTAAAGTATGTAATAGCCACAGCTGAGCTCTTTGACAAGTAATG